TAGTTCAAAAAATAGGTTATTGCAGTTATGTCCTCTTCATATGAGTTCTTCCATTTAATAATTTAGGGCTATTTTGGTATATTAATATTGTATTTATGATTTTTATAATAATAATAATAATAATATAGGCTCTCGTTTTTCTAAATGAATTTTGATAATATAATACATCCTCAAGTTAAATTAGTAATAGGACATTATAGTGCTTTTTCAAATTAAATTAGTAATAGAAATTTTAAGTATATCCTAAAACTAATAGGATTACATGACTAAAGATATTTACTTATTCAATTTTATATGAATTAGACATCTCAGAAGTAATTATACTAATAGGATTCCTAAAGATAATCATGTAGGATTCCTAACATATAGTATTATGTCCTAAAACTAATAGGATTATAAGACTAATATCTAGAATTTCGGTTATGTCATTTTATTATGAGTTATTATGCTTAATATTATAAGGTTATTTTTGTAAACCGATATTTTGTTCGTGCTTTTATAATAACTAGTATCTATAATCGTGTGTTGCACGTTACTAATGGCACATGATGATTAAAATATTTATTTATATGAAGGAATAATAAAATTTAATTAGTGAGAAATTTTTTATATTTAATACAATAAAAATAATCTAAATGCCAAAAAATATTATTACACTAACATATACGCGAATTCAAAATGAAAGGATATCATCAGAACTTACATAAATGATCAATTTTAATCGTGTTAAATCGATAATTATGTATTGTAGTTTAAAAGTATCTAATGTGATGGTATCTTACCGAACACTTATTTATAGACGATATTTTTTTTGTATATGTTTGCTTCTTATGCTTTGGTTACTCTGCCATAATCAGGACTCTTGTTGTTGATATTGATCTCTCTCTTTGAAAGTGCAACATATAGTTGCTCGTGTAAGAAAATATATTGTGGTAAATATAGTTCAATATTTACGATATTTGTCATTGTACTTTATTTATTATAACTACAAAACATAAATATACTAAAAATTATTTTTACACTAATTTAAGAAGATATTCTTTAGTTTCGGAAGATAAAAGTTAAATTCGGGGATAAATATATACTTAGAAGCACATTGACCAGTATCATAAATTCTGCATATATGACGTTATTGTCAAAACTTCTATATATCATATGTGTACTATTACATAAGATATTCAGCGGATCTAAATTTTCAGTAGCATGACGAGCATATTTTTCTTCAAAATAAATCTATATGCAATGGAAGATCAATTTTAACTTAGTCTATTATATATACGGTGACACTAATATACGTAAGAAATGATGAACTTGACAACAATCATGTACAGTAAAAGACCATTTGATATTAAAGTATTTATATTCTTCTTGGTAATTATTGTTGGTATCATCTTCTGCTCAGTCAAAACTGAAAATATTTTGTTTTTACCATGAAACTTAGCAATCACCCTTTTATTTAGTTGATCAACATATTCAATTCTGCTAGCTAAGATAACTCTTTGATTCTATCATGTAATTTGCACAAATTACGTTTTAATCTAATGATGAAAATATTTTCCTTATTAATGCACTACTATTACCATAAGGGTTGATAACCAAGTGTTCTAGAAGAATTAAATCATCTTTTGTTGGATGCTTTTCTTCATTTCCGACACGAAACGAGAAGTCACTAAATAATGGATATTTTCTTAATTTTATATTTCTTGTCATTTGAATATTTTTTTTATTTGAGGTTATAGATATAATTTTGGCAAGCTAGCTTTTACAGTTTCTGCTTTGGTCAACTTTGAAACAATTAATCGTACTTGATAAAAATCGCCCCCAAACTATTATTTTTCCACCAAACGGTTCATCGATATCTAATATATCTCTAAAACTCTAAGCGATTGTTTTGATCGTTTGACGCTTAGCCAAAAACGCTTCATCCCATATTATCACTTTTGTTTCCTTATAAATTTAGCACTATTGCTCTGATTTGATATATTCGTGATTGTTATTTCAGTTATTTGAAGAGGTATATCGGATTTAAAGTGAGTTGTACGACCTTATAATAAAATCGTTGCTGGTACACTATTTATTCTTATTGCTAACAATATCATGCCTCTTGATTTGACATTTGCAAGTGATGCATGACATAGGAATATTATTTCGATTCCGCCGGAGGCATCTATAAAGGATAACCCCGCTATACCAGAGTCATTTTTTTATAATATAGTCTTGAAAGCTTATTCTTGTTTAGGATTTAGCATTGATTGTGCTTTCTCAAACACTTTTATGGCTTTATTAATATTATATACTAATCTTTTTTACTTTGTATTTTTTTTTAAATCTCTAACACTCTTTTTATAAAATAAATTTATGTACCCTAACTTGAAAAATAATTTTACTCATATAAGGAATTTTAAATAATTTAATTGGATTATCTTGCTAAATAATTAATTGAAAGTTTTAATTATTTGGTTTAACATAAAATAAATTTATTTTAGGTCGATTTAGATTCTTAATATTGGTTCATCTCATGATTGAATATTTAACTGTGATTATAATTTTATCCACCAAAAACTATATATTCAAAGAGTAAAAAGATCGATGATATTCCACTTTTAGATCTTTATGTTTACAAAATCATTAGTGGTATTAGCTCTTACCAACCTTTTTCTTTCTTTTCTCACACATTTATATTCTTAATTTTTTTTAATTGTTCTTTAATAATTTGGTATATTTTTCTATATTACACGAAAAATTAATAATAAAAAATATTATTTGATCGTAGCAAAGCTGTTCAGATATAACATAATAATATATTATCGTGAGAATTCTTTTTTATCAATTTCAACGCTTTATTGAGTCCGTTTAGCATTACTTTTATTTTTTTGGTATTGAATAATATAGAGTGGTAATGCATTACCAATATGGAGGATTTTTATGAAATTAATTTTATTAAACCTTCCTATATATTTTTCATAAGAATTCAATAGACAAGATTGTATTAATTTTAAAATCTTAAATATCAAAAAATTAACATAAAAGTTATTGTAGTCCAAAAAAAAGTTATTACAGCTATGTGCTTTCCATATGAGTTCTTTTGTTTAATATTTTAGGGCTATTTTGATATATCAATATTATATTCGTGCTTTTATAATAATATATGCTCTTTTGTTTTTAAATGAATTTGGACAATATAATATGTTTTCAAATTAAATTAGTAATAGAAATTTTTAAGAAGTATATCCTAAAAACAATAGGATTAAAAGGCTAATATTTATGCCCAAAATAATTCTACTAATAGGATTCCTAAAGGAAATCATGTAGGATTCATAACGTGTAGTATTATGTTCCAAAACTAATAGGATTATAAGACTAATGTCTAGAATTCCGATTATATCCTTTTATTGTGAGTTATTATGCTTAATATTAAAAGGTTNATATAGATAGATAGATATAGATATAGATGGATAATAATGAAATAATTTTGCTTGCCCACTCACATTAATAAAACTTCTATTATTTTATTTAGAGAAATTTTCATAAAGCACTATCTTTTAGTGGCAATTAGCTATCTATAGATAACATTTGCTATATTACAGATTGTAGATACGTTTTCTGTTGTTATAAGAAGTATTAGATGTATTTAAGCTACTTTATTCATGAATACAGTAGCAAAAATAGGTGTGAATCAGGGAAGTCCAGCTAATCAGTTGTTGTATTTGAGTGTATTCGACTGTATTCATGGCGTAAAACATGAAATTACAGCTGGACAGATTATTGTATTCGACCGTATTCGACTGTATTCACGGCGTGAAACAGGGGATTACACTGTTGTTTAAATGGAAAGTGAATCAATTAACATAATAGACTCCTAATATAACTCAACAAACTCAATTATAACACACAAAATTTTGTATTTCCAATTATAAAAAAGATTCTCAACCGAAAAGTACCCCAAAAATATAGCATTCTTCAGAGAAATTATATAATACATCTGAATACATAAATTATATTAATTAAAAAACATATGAATACATTAATGGCATATAGCGAGATAGTGAATACAATAAAATACATAGAATACAACGGGATACATTGAAATACAATGGAAAAAAGACAGTGAATACAATGAAATACATGGAATACAACGAGATACATTGAATTACAATGAAAAAAAAGACAATGAAATATATGAAAATACAGCGTGATATGTTGAATATACATTGAAATACATGAAAATGCCGAAGGGGAGATTTTTCTGTGAATTGATAAAACTGTGTCGGTGGAATGGGCGTGAAGGACTAGGGTTTTGTTGACGCCGGAAAATAAACGGATGGAGAATTGTATGTGAGTTGATGGAGGAGAGGAGGAAGGGAGAGTTTTGTCTTTCCGCATCCTGACGGCGGGAGGTACAACGTCGTCGTCGACGACATCGGCATGATCATCAAACTGGCGTTTGAACTGAATGTGATACGTCATTGATAGTTCTACTGTATCATAAGCAGGAAGAGAATGCTTGCCTCATATCTGAAAATGGGAGATATTTATTCTGGGAAAGTTAATGCTTCCCCTTGTAGATTAACCTTTGATCGATTCCTGGTACTCCGAAGGACTTCGTCATTGTTCGGATTCCGGTGATCGACTCGATTTTTCTGTGGGGAAGAGAATGACATGTATTAAAGTAAAGAGAGAAAGAAAATTGTATAATTGAATAGCGTATTTAGTGGCTTAGGGGTAGGAGGTAACCAAAATTAGATATTTTGCTATAAACAATAAAAGGTATCTATAGAATATAATTTTTTTAAATGATATTTATTTAAAATAAATAAGGTGTTAACCTTTGCTATAGGAGGTAAAAATTCCTTTTATTTATATATTTTCCTATATTATTTTTTATTTATTTTATATGAAAAAGGTCATATAATTAAAATATCATTCATCAGATAACGTGCACCAAATTAATTATAACTTTAAAAGCATATGATATGCTATAAATTTTTATCTTCAATTTCTAACATTTTCAAAAGAAAAAACCCACCCCTAAAAGAAACCTAGTTTTAACTTTCGACTGAAAACAGTTGTTTTCTGCTACGGATTCCTTTGCTCTGTGCGCCTATTGTCTTTCTTGCTACCTTATACTTGTCAGTTGGTCGAGGGAATGCTGAGCCTAAGCAACACTCTTCCAACAGTTTCTGGTCCTCAGAGAAGCAGTTTTGCCTCTCCAATTTTAGCTGTCAATCCTCAAAAAAGTATCAGCTTCCTTAAAAATCACAGCTTTGTGTTTTCATCATCTTTAATGAGACAACAGTCTGAACACACCCCAACTATGTTATCTTGCAAAGCTTCTTTGGAAGTTGTAACGGACTCACCCGGGTACTTCACCACCACCCTCTTGATTTTTAAATTTTTTTAATTTGTTTTTAGTATGTAAAGAATAGATCCTTTCTTTCTTAATTTAATATGGGTTTGCTCAAGTCTTTAATATATTAGTGGTTAGTTCTTTGTGCAAATTGCAGATAATCGCTTGCTGCTCATTGGGTTTTATGCGTTTACTTTATGGTGGGGTGGCGTTAATTGAAATTTGGCACTTTTCTTGCTCAGCTTTTCTTGGAAATTTATTGAAATTGATGCGTTTCCTTTTCTTTTTGAGATTTTATACTTCTTGCATTTGGAAGTTTATTTGTTATTGTGCTCTTTATGAACATTAGTAAGAATATTGCTTTAGATAGTTTATACCTTTTTAATGGTTGTTTAAAATTCTGCTGCTAATTTTTAGCTTTCTTTTTTTTCTTTTAATAATGTAAATGATGTTCTAGAATGTGTCAACTGTCAAATAATGCAGCGGTTTAGAAGTCCATGGAATATCGGAAATGGTTGTGGGTGTTTTGGGAGGAGGGCAGCTGGGTCGTATGCTGTGTGAAGCGGCATCCCAGATGGCGATCAAAGTGATTGTCTTGGACCCAATGAATAATTGTCCTGCTAGTGCACTGGCACATCAACATGTGGTAGGAAGCTATGATGACAGTGCCACTGTTGAAGAATTTGGGAAAAGGTTTGGTATTTTCTTATCATATGTTTATGGATTTTGTTTTTCTCTACAAGCTAATTTGGTTTGTGAAAGCAGGTGTGGAGTACTAACCGTTGAGATCGAGCATGTTGATGTTGTCACACTTGAGAAGCTTGAGCAACAAGGTGTGGATTGCCAACCCAAGGCCTCTACTATTCGTATAATCCAGGTTAGTCTTTTAACATGTCTTAATTTGAATGAAAGAGTCATATTTTATATGCAATTATTGAGATTATTTCGTTGGTTACTCATACTAACAACATTTGTTTGCTTGGTTAACTCATTTTCTCTTGTAACAGGATAAATATCTTCAGAAGGTCCACTTTTCTCGTCATGCTATCCCACTTCCTAAGTTTATGCAGGTTGACTTGTGGTGGCAAAGATTGCTTATGTTCATATTTCTTCTTTCATTGATAAAATTTGATGTTTTCACTTATGTGGAAAATATGACTAAAACAGATTGATGATCTTGAAAGTGCTAGACGAGCAGGGGACCTGTTTGGTTATCCTCTTATGATAAAGAGCAGGAGGTTGGCATATGATGGGCGTGGCAACGCTGTCGCTAAAAGCGAGGAGGAGCTCTCCTCTGCTGTTAATGGTAGTATGCCAATCTGTACAAATTTGTGAAGTGTTTGCTGGTGCTTACTTCTTAAAAATATTATCCAATTGCAAAAAATAGGCTTTGGTAGAAGAAATGACCAGATAAATAGCGTCCATGGGGTTTCTAGTTTATTCTGTGTTGTGAAATTGCCATAAGAAGCACATAGAGGTTTAATGTTTTATTTAACACATTTATGGGCTTCATATTGAGATGATACTCTCTCAGGGGAACATCATCTGCTAATAATTTGGAGAGCTTCTTTGGTTAAGAATCAATCTTCCACTTTTAATTTGTTTGTTTAGATTTGAAGCTTAATCAGGCCGTAATAATATGTGGTTCAATTTGATTTTCAGCACTTGGAGGATATGGTCGTGGTTTATATGTTGAGAAATGGGCGCCATTTGTGAAGGTTAGAATTTGCTTCATTGTTAAGAGGGTGTTTATTATGCATTTACCAATAACTTTAAAGGGATAATAAATAAATTTGTCTTTGCTTCATGCAATTGTATAAGGAATATATTCATCTGGTGCTATTTATACCATGAAGTTATGTTAGTCAGATTTCGCTGCCATTACTTGAAGCTCAAAGTCAATGAGACAACCACTCTTTCTGTTATCAGAGGGCATCATTAGCTTTACATAGATATTGAAGCTGGGTTTGCCTAACTCGTAATTCTGGATGGAAAGCGCACCTTCTTGAAATCAGGGGTCTTCAAGGCAAACCGAAAATTCACATCGAATTGACAAACCGACTCAAATAAATGGAAAAATCAACTTACAGCTTGATTTGAATTTGTTTGATATTAGTTGGGTTCGGTATATTTGTATAAAGATTTTGATAGATATGTAAGAACTTCATTTCTTTTTATTTCAGGAGCTCTCTGTGATTGTGGCGAGGGGAAGGGATGGTTCAATTGCATGTTACCCTGCTGTAGAAACTATTCACAGGTTTGATAGTGCTTCTTTGCCAACATATTCGCCGTTTCTGGTATCCTTTGTGTTAGTTTGAACTTTTCCAGAAGTTGACCCTGCCATCTTTCCTGATTACTGGATCTTGTGTGTTAACAGGGATAACATTTGTCATATCGTAAAGTCACCTGCTAATGTATCTTGGAAGAGTATGAAACTTGCAACGGACGTTGCGCACAGAGCTGTTAGTTCATTAGAAGGTGCAGGAGTCTTTGCTGTTGAGTTGTTTTTGACAGAAGATGGTCAGGTTGTCTGGCAATTTCCACACGTATTCAATATATAAGGAACTTAATTAGTAGTATGCATTTACAGATCTCTTCAAAAGTATTTCATTTTTTTTAAAACTTAACCTGTCTGTAATTGTTAGTTTCTTGCAGATTTTACTAAATGAAGTAGCTCCCAGACCTCATAATAGTGGGCATCACACCATTGAGGCTTGCTTCACTTCACAATTCGAGCAACATTTGCGGGCTGTGGTTGGCCTTCCACTTGGTGATCCATCAATGAAAACTCCTGCTGCAGTCATGTATAACATATTGGGGGAAGANTGATGAGATTCAGTAAATGCTAATTACTGAATTAGTGTTGGAATGCTTTAGGAAAATTTGTACACATGGGCATTCTGTCTTTTTGAATATGCATTTTCACATGAATGTGTGCAGGACTATTGCTTTTCCCATCTGTTCCCCTAATACATTATATTGGCTGGCGTGCAGCGATTGGTTTTTAACTTGTGAGCTGCTTTTAGCTAACCAAATGTATTCAATGGATATCCTCAACCTTCTTTTTATTTCTATCCTTTGTTTTTCACTTCGTGCATATCTTTAGGTTGCTGCTTCTCAACCCTCTCTACCCCCCAAAAAGGATGAAAATAAAATAAAGAACTTTATCACAAAAAAAGAAAAGAACAAAAGGGCCCTAAACTCAAAAGGAACTAGTAAATGCTATCTTCATCCAATAAGATGCTACATCTTCACAAAATCTGTTTCATGCATTTTTGAAGTCTCTATTTGCTGTTTGCATTAGTACTTAATACATAAGCAGCAACTCTCATATGCTTGTCCAACATTGTGTTTTTGCTTCCAGGGCGAACCTGGATTTCTTTTAGCTAATCAACTTATTGAAAAAGCATTGGGAATCCCGGGGGTATCTGTTCATTGGTATGACAAACCAGGTTGGTGGATTTGACCTCATATACCTTAAACGCTATCTTTCCTATTTAAAAACAAGCAAGCAAGTACGCCACCAAAAAGTTGAAACTGTTTGCTTCAATGACTTGTAGAGATGCGAAGGCAACGCAAGATGGGACACATCACAATAGTTGGCCCTTCTATGGGCATTGTGGAAGCTCAGCTAAGGGTGATTCTAAATGAAGAAAGTGTTAATGGCCATCCTGCAGGTTAGTTGTCAAAATGCTTTCATAAACATATTCAAGTTTTATGTGTGCAAATATTACACACTGGTCAGCTGTTCAGGGGTAGTTACAAACTTGCTAAAAATTTCTATTTTTAGAAGTATTATTGAAATTGGTGGTCAAAGGTTCATGTCAGGAGAGGTTACAAACTTTATGTGGATATTGAAGCTTCTTACTAGTATAAATGCTCTTTTGCATGTTAGAGAGACTCGTACATGGATGTCTGATATTAAAATTTCGAACTTTATACTCATGTAACGAGATGTCAGGTTATCAGCTAAATTATTTTCCAGTTTTTCGTTTGTCTCCATCATTAATTTTTTGTATTCCCTGCTTTTTTGGTCTCCCACTTTTTTATTTTCATCTTGTTACTGTCATATTCTCTTCTCTATCCTTCTTTCTGTGCAACGATATTAAGCTGTCTTTCAGCTGCATGATTTCTCCTTAATGTAAATTTGCGTTAACCAATCAATTCTTTTGGGATTTATGCTTTTTCCAACTGCGTGATGTTATAGCGGTACACTGTTGTGTTTTACAGACACCAAATAAACTAAGACAGGTAAAATTAGCTTTTTTCCAGCTGCAGATTATTGTTTGATTATTCACTTGAATATAATGATTTTTGTTTTCGTTCGCTATGCAGTTGCACCACGTGTTGGGATCATAATGGGATCTGATTCAGATCTTCCTGTTATGAAGGATGCTGCCAAGATTTTAAATGAGTTTGATGTGCCTGCTGAAGTATTTACCATTAACTATTGCACCTCGTTTTCCATATCATTCAGCAGCATGCCTAATGTATGTTTGTATCATCACCTCCTAAGTGACCCAAGAATCTTGTAATGATGCAGGTAAAAATAGTTTCAGCCCACCGTACACCTGAGATGATGTTTTCTTATGCTTTGTCTGCACGGGAACGTGGCATCCAAGTAATAATTGCTGGTGCTGGTGGTGCCGCCCACTTACCTGGTCAGTTGTCTTACAGCACAAAGTAACTAACATGTTGTAGGCAGTGTTATCAAAGGCGAAAAGCGCAAAAAAGTTCTAAGATCCGGCGGGGCTTTAAGCGCAAATAAAGCGTGGGCTTTAATGAAGAAAGGCGCAAATGGAGAAAAACTACAAATATATATGTGTAGTCCAAGACTAATATCTATAAGCATGTATACTTGGAGAAAGAAATAGAACAAAATTTATGATAAAGTGAAATATCAATTGTTTAGTGTTGTTTTTCGGGATTACGCTCATTGGCAAGAAAAAGTATGCGTAGAGCCTTGACGACAACACTGAAGCGCCCGCTAAGCGAGGGGAAGCGCTCAACATTTTTTGAGCCTCACTTCAGGGCTTAAGCACGCCTTTATTAACACTGGTTGTAGGTCTTCTAGTATGCACTAAAATGTGGTTTTTACCTTGAGCAGGAATGGTTGCTGCATTTACTCCACTACCTGTTATTGGCGTTCCAGTACGCGCTTCCACATTAGATGGACTTGACTCCCTATTGTCCATTGTTCAGGTACCTTTGGTCTTTACTCTAGAACAACAGTATCCAGTCATGTCAAGCTCGGTACTTATGGGGGTTAATGTCTTTTGTAAGTTCAATGAGATTTGTGGGCCTGCTAGCTGGAAACATATCTGAGATATATTCAATCCCCCCCC